GGGGGTATTTTTTTATTTCTTTTTTTTGACCCCAGCCAATTTTTATTTATTGAAATAAAAAAAACCCTTTTTTTTTTTTTTTTTTTTTACTTAAATTCCGATTTTTAGATCTGCAGAAGAACCAAAGGTACAATCTGTAACTATCTGTATTATGTAGGGATTATCGGAACCATTCTTTTGTACTGTAATTGGTTCCTTGGCATCTTTTATTTTTAGTATCCCATCCTTTGCAGAGAGCACAGTGATTCCTTCGCCTCGGTGATGGAGATCCGACTCCTCCTGCTGCGGGGACGTAGTTTACCTACCCGCCTTACACCTGCGTTAAAATGGCCAAGATGATATTTGGAAAAAATGTTTTATAGTTAGAATGTTTTTTTCTTGTTGTTTGGAGGGTGTTTATTGAAAGCTTTTTTTTTTTAGTCTGTTATAATTGTGGTTATTCATAACCAAATGTTCTCTTAATGTTTGTTTTTGACCGGGAGGAGGAAAAAGAAAGCAATATAGTTGTTATTGTGTTCCAAAAGCTACTAGATGAAATATTAGCCTCGGTGTTGTCCCAAAGGAAAATGAAGGAGCACAAGCGTTCTGACTCGTCTCTCTCTCTACACGGACTTTACCTTCTTAAAAAGACAACAAAGCCTCAGGTTTGATGTTTGCCTTGTTCTTTGGGTACTCTAAGACCAAAAATCAACGTCAGCTTAATGAAGGAGACGCCTGAACTCTTGAGGACACATGATGTCGCCTTTTTTATTATCTCTATTCATTTTGGACTTTTCCTCTTTTCACCTCCGCTCGTTTCCCCCTCTACACGCTGCTGCTTCTGTGTAGGCCGCAGCTTTTTTTTACGAGAGTATAAATGGAGTGATGGCCCTGGTTTCTTGCATAATGTATGATATGCATACTGTGTCCGCCATGTCCAGTCTCGAGTTGCCTTCAACTGCAGACGCGTCTACATTTTCAGTCTGGCAGCAGGACCGGATGGGCTGGTTTTACCATTAAGCTGAAGACGTAATGAACTTTGCAAAAAGGATGTCTTATTGGGATTTATTTATGTTTTGGATATTACAGCCACAAGAGGCAACTCTTCTTTTTTCTTTTTTTGAAGCTCCAGGCCTCTATATGTCTTTGAACGTCCATTTGTAATGGTTTATATTTATTTTTAATCCAAATCTAAAGGATTTTTTTTTATATAATAATAAAAGATCAATTTTTTTTTCTTTCTCCCAGATGGATGGCAGTAGGTTTGTCACATTTTGTTATGCTTGTTTCTGAAGTGCATGATGAGTGAGGCTGAATCGCACGAGTGACATGCGCACTGAAGAAGTCCTTTTTGTTTGAAACAATGTTTGGTTTGCTTGATGTTCTATCCCATGTTTTTCGTGCTTCAAGTGGGAACTACAGCAGCAGAATTAAATTTTGCCTTTGATGTATGAACATACGTAGCAGACCTGAAGTCTCATCATTTCTCCTGTGTTGACCCATATGTTGTGGAAATCTGATGACATGTTCTGCATTTTCCCTGCACGGCCGTTCTACTGTTCCACGTTTGAGATTTCAATGTTTTCTTTTTCCGTTCTAAACATCACACGAAGGTTTTGTTCAATCATATTATTTTTGTTGCAATAAGGCTATACTTGGAAGAAAAAATGATTTGTACCGCCAAACTGTAGTCATTTGGTTAAAACCAGTAAACTGTTCTTTCTTAAATTGCTTGTGTCTCTGAGCTGCTTTTTTTAAAAAGTTTTTTTTTTTTTTTTTAACACTGCTTAAAATTACCACTTGCACATAAACTGAAGTTTACACCGGGCGGGTCAATGCCATCTAGGGTTGTTTCTGACAGAATATGAGTCAGGAATCCCTAAAAATGTATACAGTCATTTTTAAAAGAACACCTGTTTTCATTTTATGGCATGTCAAAAATATTTCTTCTAAAAAATCAGAGACAATAAATCTTTTTGGAGTTCATCAGTTACTTGTGATGATTTGTCTTTGGTAACAAACTGTCAAAAAAAAAAAAAACCTGAACCCAGTTTTTTAGCTCCTTCAAACTCCAAAATGTAAGTAATGTTTTAAGTCAGAGGTGAAATTAGAATATTACTTTAATCCTAAATTTGCCCAGGAAATAAAAAAAATGTTGGGCTTAACTGTACATCCCTATCAGTACTTGGATAAATGTCTCTTAAGTTGCACAGAAACAGTATTATAATTTCATTTTATTTTATTTTATTTTGTAGCCATGAATATTCATGATTTGACCCATCGTTTGGCAGAATTGGCAGAGTTCATTTGAATTATTATATTGTTTTGTTACACAAACTGTCACAAAAACAAGGTTTTAGGTGAAAGTCATACCAGAAGCTTAACTGAATCTAAAACCAGTTCTGATCTGTTCAGGGGTCTTTGTACTTTTTAACCATCAAGCGGTTGCACTGAGGTAAAATGAATGAGCTGGAAGTTGTCCTCTATTGTAATTTCATCCAATTTATGCAGCACCTTCACCAATACAAGTACATTTAACCCCACAGCATAATTCTTCCACCATCATGTTTTACCTTGCTTCTAAGAGCTTCTTTCTTGATTGGCAGCCTGTAGTTCTTGGCGATGATCCTTAGGTTGCTCTTAGACAGTTAAATTTTTTTTTTCCTTAGCAGCTGACAGTCTCAGATGGGTAAAACCTTAACACAGTTATTACTGAGACTTGCTTAGGAATGAATAAGGAATGGATAACATTCCAAACCTTGCAGAAAACTTATGGAGGAGGACTAAAAGGGTCGGTGCCAGGAAACAAACCAATTAGTATTAACTCAAAGAATTCTGCCAAGAAGAGCGATCACACATCCAGACAGGATAGTAGCAAAAGCCTGATGACGGCTATAAAAAGTGTTTTTTTTTGTACGACTTGCAATGGCACGTTAAGCCAGATATTTGTGAAATATATTTAAAGAAAAAAAAAAAACTTCCTCAAATAGTTCATGTCAAAGATGAGGGAAAAGTATCCGTAGCCAGGCAAGTAAAAGTGTTATATTTAAATGTGGTATGCATTAGTCTGTTTCTAAAAATATCAACACACAGCCTCACAGCAGTATAGATGCCTGATGTAACCTATACACACACACACACACACACACACACACACACACACACACACACACACACACACGCACACACGCATACACGCACACGTACACAAAATGAAAGATTTCCAGTTGTAAAGATTAACATCTCAGACTACTCCCAAACTAGATGAACAACAGAACAGCTTATAATATTTAAATGTTTATTTAACAAAAACTACACAAAACTCCAAAGTGTGGGGAAATTTGGTAAATCATAACCAGATTCCAGATCAATCAGAAGAGTAAATATCAGATAAATTTAGCAAACCTAACCAGGTGAAGAAATCTTATGTTTCTAGTTGGCTGCATGGTCTCCTGCATTCAGGTGTGTTATATCACAAACACAGAAAGAAAAAAATGTCAGCGCTCACATCATCCAGTAAGCTACAAGCATTGTCTACCAGTCTGAGAATTTTTTTAAAATAAGATTTTATTGTTTGTTTGTTTTCTTTTTGTTCTACTGTGAGAACAACTTCTCAAAGGTCTGAAACATCCCAGGAATTGTGTACTTGAAGGCTCACCTTAAAGCCAGTCTGTTTGAGGCTGGGGAAAACGGAAAAGAAGCACAGAGTTGCATGTCAGACTCTACAGCTTTCATTTAGCATGTTAAAGGTTGAAGTCAACAACAGCGCTGCTACTAAAAGACCAAACAAGTTTATCTAATTTAGAGTCGTCACCAGACGAGAATCTCCAAAAGGAAGTTGGCCATACAGGCTTGGCTTGCAAAGTTGCATCTGAACTAGAGCTTCCCCAAAGTGAGCTTTTTACTCTCTGAAAATTTGATAAAAATAACATTTATATTTAAATGTCAACATCAAAAGCTATTTTTACTCTGCTTTTGTGCATTTTTGACAAAATAATGACACCAGGGATGAGCAAACAGAAGCACAGAAAAGAGCTTCTAATGAGGGAGGTAAAAGTTAAAACAAACCCGTCACTCGCCATCCGTCTTTTTTGTTGTTTCATTTTCAGCAAATATGATTTGTTTGGATAAATGTTTGATTAATTTATATTTTTTAAAAATCCCGCAATATATATGTAGAAGAGAAAAGGGTGAAAATCACTCTTTACATATATATGTGAGTGGCTGTAAAGAGCACCCACTCAGGTAACAGGAATGTAAACACACATTTCTAGAAATAATTTGCGTGAAAGATGGCACTCTCTGCGTGGGGTCAAAATGTGTTTCTGTCAGCAGACTGGTTTGTGACGCATAGCTATAAGTTGTTCCGGTAAAGCCACATTCCTGTTTGAGGAGTCAGAAACAGCCTCCAACTATAGGGTCTCTCTTTCAAACGTGTTGCGCCATCTAGTGTTCATGAAGAGGCAGTGGAGGTTCTGTGTTCACAAAACATTAAAATGTACACAAAAATTATATGTATTTGCAGTTCATGAACCTGTATTACATGAAGGACTGGTGTTAATTCTACAGAAATGTGTGAGAATGACATGGATAAAAGCGAACTGCTGCGACTTGAAACTTGAAAGTGCTTTTTTTGAATAATCTTTTGAGATGATGTACTTCACAGTTGATTCCATTATATTTCATAGTAAGGCTAGAGGTATAATTTATTTATTACAGCATACAAATCTCGCAGTGATGGAGAACTCATTTCACAAAATAAAAGCTTGCTCATCGCATCAGACCTGAAAGTCAGGATGCCCCATGATTTTAATATTTATTTAACTGAAGACCTAAAACAACTAAAGACATGAGTCTGCAAAAAACAGATTAATAAAAAATAATAATAAAAAAGGAATAAAACATAATGACAAAAAGACATCTACATTTAGCTATAGAGGACGTTGCAAAAATTTTTGCACTCATAACACAATTGAAATGAATAAATGCAATTGTGGCCAACACAAAGTGGGAGAAAATATAAATATTTAGATCAAATATGTTCACATGTTATATTTAGATTCAAAGAAGCAAATTCTCTGAGTGTACAGTTAAGTTATCTTTGCGTGAACAGCTTAAAAGTATCTACATTTTTAACATAGTAGTTTGAAATGCAGCTTTTTATATTCCACATTCATTTGGTTCCTAATTGAAGATAGTCAAGCTTCAATCTTTTCATTTGAAACACAATTACACAGTCAAAAACAATGCATGGAACATCAATAAAACATGAAAACAGAATGCAAAATTAAGCAAAACTGTTCGCAAGAAATGTAAATTGACACAAACCCATTATCAATGGACAAGGAAATACGAAAAAGGCCAAAACAGGACAATATGAAGATGCAAAATGATGTAAACTGTGGATGTTTATGATTTACAGATAATTTCTGCTTGAATTGTGCCAGCTTTGAGACTATTTCAATGCAATTGCTCTTGATCTGCTACGTGACAGTAATTATTTTGAAACATTTGAAGAACAGAGGCCCTTTGATTCCTCATCTTTCATGGAGGTGTTTGGATCTAAATTGCATCGATCCGCTCTAACAATCATTTAAAGGATAAGGAAACCCAAAAAAGGGAGCAGTCGCTGTGAAGTAACGTGACAAAATCTGAAAACAAAGAAAGCGCAAAGGGCCGATTGGATGCAATACTTGGTAGAACCGTTTAATTTCTTGTGCAACAGATACAAACTCTGGCTTTTCTTGTGTGAATTGTGAAGAAAGGCAAAGACAGACAGGGCACATTTAAGGGAACCTGTCGGAAACAGTTACAACTTCAAACCTAAAACACGTTCAGAATTTTAAATAATCCACCTGTAACATTTATACAGTACAATACATTCAGTCAACTAGAGAGCAAACCAGTTGTGGATTGTTTAGGGCAAAGGTCAGTGGACTAGTAGTCTTTTTTTTAAAAGTGTTTCTCTTGAAAAAAGCACATCATTTTTAAACTTCTAATAACGTTTTTTAACATCAAGCTTAACATTTGAGCACATACTAGAAAATTTTGAGCAGCTTTGACATGTTGGCAGCTAGTAAAACTGTAATCATTTTAGCAGTGCATACTCCTCCAGCATCTTTTAACAAAAAATGTTTGAGGTATCTTTTTTTTTTTTTCTTCGGTAAATAAATACAGTGCAACACAAACAGCCTGAGAGCACCTACTGTCGCTCATAATTTGCTCCTGTCCAGCCTTTTTTTCATAGGGTTGGGGTACTGAGGATTCTCAATCACCCCTTCTCCGAACTTAAGCTCCAGGAAGGCCCTTTGGTTGTTGGGGCCGTAGGCTGTGATGCCAGCGAAGGGCATGGGCACCAGCGGCTGCAGGAAGTGCTCCGGGAACTCCACATCCTGTTTGTGCTCTGTCCACGTGTCTTTCGTCATGATGCCGTTGCGCGAGTAGAAAGGCCACAGATCCACGTGCAGGTGGTTGGCCTCGCTGTACTGCACTCTGTAAAAGTCTCCCTCCACTGCCCGCTCCCACACGTAGCCATTAGCATCCACCAGAGAGCCCGAGTCCAGGTTCTTCAGGTGGTCGCAGTTGGGCACGTCCTCCAGGTAGATACCCAGGTCCACGTCGTAGTCCCAGGGTATGATGTCTTGATGGCGGACGGCACCAAGAAGAGAGCCTCCCTCCAGCCAGTAACGCACACCGGAGCTCTCCAGGATGTTAATGACATATTTGGTGGTTTCCCTCAGTGCTCTCAGACAGCACGGAGGCGTCCAGCGATCCAGATACAGGTAGTCCGGCGTGTCATCCTGCACGGTGCCAAAGCAGCGGGGAGTCTCTTTAGTGCAACCAAACCACTGTTCCTTTCCCTCAGGGAGCAGGAGGCGCTTCAGACCGAAGCTCCTCATGAGTTTCCCTGTCGCCTCCTTCAGTCGAGTGTCAGCCTTCCACTGATTGTGAGCAGAGCTGAAAAGTGGCCGGTGGTTTGCCGAGAAACAAGGGCTCTCCAGGAGTTTCACCTTCCAGCCCCTTAAGGTGGTCTGAATGAAAAGGGCAGGAAAGAGGGGGCGCCCCAGAGGTACGGACAAGTTGAAAAGGTCCTCAGTGCGAATCAAGACAACAGCGTCGCCTTGTAAAGCCGTACACACACTCCCACTGCTTCCTGAAGCGGCCGGTGAGTAGGTGGCAGTCCACTCTTTGAGGTTGACCCGCAGGTGGAGGCACTGCACCGCGGATCGTGTTAAAACGGGCACCGCTACTAGCCTCACGGGCCCCCCACCTTCACCTTCCAACTCTTTGATGAGTCTCTCAAAAACTCTCGGCTGCTCCAGCTCCACGCCGTCAGGTACCAACAGGACAAACTCTGTCTGCAAGTGAAACTCTGGCCTGTGAGCTTGTGGTGGCTGGTCGGGGCTAGGAGAGAGCACCAAAAGACGGGCGCCCTCTGGAAGTACAAGGGGAGGATACGGGAATGTGTCGGCCACAGCCAGAAAGGGAAGCTCTGGACGCTGACGAAGGAAGGAGTTAGCCACGTCCCCAACGTAATTCTCAAAGCTTTCAAACTCCCGAAGGAGAACAGAGACACGTGGGCCTCGGCCATGGCCCTCCGCTGCCATTCCTGCATGCTCACCTCCAATGACCCCTAAGGCTCCCCCCAGAAGGGAAGCCGGCCGGGCAGCTCTCCTCGAGCCTCTGCCAAGCTCCTTCCTTTTCTCCATCATCTGCTGTTGGGCTCGAGATACATAATAAAGTATGAGGAGGTTGAGGATGATGGCGCCCGTTAACAGACCCTGGCACAAACTGATACGCATGGCAAATAATACTTTTTAGAGTTTCTTGGAGGAAAAATTCAAGTTTCAATGAAGGCATCCAGTGGCGGATTTTGGCTCTCCATCTGTTCGGCAGCTGGAGACAAACTAAAAGCATAAAAAGACAAATAAATGTTATAATACTCTCTGTGTGTAGGCAAAAATGCATTAAATGTATCTTGAAATTTTTTTAATGATTTTAAAGTGAAACTAACATAACCCTAACCCTACAGTAAATTTAAAAGATAAAATTGTTGGTTGAACAAACATAATGCATTTTACAAAAAAAAAAAAAAAATCTAACTTCTTTAATTCCATAAATTAACTTTTAAGTACTGCAAGTGACTTTTTTGATTTTCCACAATGGATTTTAGTTTTGGCTAAAACCATAATGAACCAACTGATATTTTCAAATATAATTAAAACATATGCAGGCTTTTCATGGAGTTGCTGGATTAAAAATCCACAACAAAAACAGTCAAAAAGTATCAATAAAGTTTTATTTAATCTATTTTTCTTCACATTCACTTGAAAAGAAAATTTTATCTTTCTTTTACATTGTTCCCACAAAAAACAACTGAGAAAACACATGCATCCTCTTTTTGCTAAAGTTTTATGCTTTTTTTCTGAAGTGTAAAACCTAAAATAGAAATAAAATGTTTTTTTTCTAAATGCTACACATTTCTGCCAGTAAACATTCATCGAAATATAGTGTATGTTAGAGACAAAAAAATCTTTATTCATAGAATATACTCAATACTATGATTATTAAATAAAATCAAATGCTACCCAGCGTCCCACCCCAAATCCACACCCACCTCGTCAATACTAGCTTTTCTTTGGTAACACATAAGTTGATTGACTAAATAATAGACGCATAGCAAGAACAAGTTATCAAAAATGTTTCAGCTATACTCACCTTTATTTGAATATATGTCATACTGCAAGACATTCTTTTGAGCAACCCAGGAAATCCCCGCATGCATTCGTAATGCGAAACTCTAGCATTTACATAATTTTTTTTTTTTACCATAATATTAATATCACTGTGGTGTATTTTGTCAGTCAGCTTTGGTGAGCATTAGCTAAGCTGCCTCAACGGGAAGCAGCGAACAAAAACACAAGTCAGCATTATTTACAACGGTGGAGGAAACTGGGTTCTCATTGCTGGAAGTAGAAACCTGCAACATTGCCCAGGCATTCGTGTAATTAATGCTTTACAATCATCCATGCAAGGAACCTCACCAAACGACTTTAGCATTATGCTAGTACACCTTTTGCCTTTGTTGCTCGGAGCAACCAAAGCGCTTCCTCTTACCGTCCTTCAGAATAAAAGTATCACATAATGAAATTTTCTATCACTTTATTGGGCTACTTTTATTTATTGAATTTTTACATAAAAAAAAAATCCCCAAAATATTCCATCAGGAAGTACTTTTTTGTGGCTATTTTTATTTGAGATAAGTTCTTTCTTAGCTTTCTAATTCAGTCCATTGTGCATTTGTTGCTCACAAATGTACATTGACCATATATCTGATAAATAAGACATTGACTTCACTGCCAATGTCACAAATTGGTAAATTTCTAAAAAGCAAATTTAAGGGGAGGGATATGTCATCATTTTGCTTTGTTTAACTTAGTTGATAACTTTACAAGAGTAGAAGCATTCAGCTGACATTAGTAAACAAAATGATGGGTGTTGTGAGTGACTTTGAACAGATTTGGACAAACTCTCAGAAGAACTATAGGTAGATACTTTATTACATCCAATGTAACAAGCTATAACAAAGACATTACATATTGTCTGAACTATATCTGGGACAATTTTTTTGTTTTTGTTTTACTGTTTTATTGGGTTCTATGCATATTTGTTGCTTTTAAAACGAGCAAGAAGCTAAATGCTCAAATCACATTGAATATTTATGTGCCAGAGCAGAGACACTGCATGCAGTCTTGATTCAGACTACTCTGGTTGGTACCCATTTTTTTCTGACTGCTTAGTAAAGTTATTTTTTCCTTCCTAATGTTGATTGGAATGATGGTGATAAAATAGGCTGTACTGGAAGTGCATCCGTGGTGGCATTAACTTGTAGAATCGGACACATCATAAGTCTGTGTGCCTTAATCAAATAATGCTCTGCAACAAAATAGCAAAAACAAAAACTGACAATGGAAAACTACATCTTAAGTGGATGTAAGCAACGTAATTACCTTTGATAACTTTATAAAGAAATGAGATGAGATAGTGTACTGTAAAGGTAAGTTGGATTTTGTGTATTCTACTCAATGCGCTGTAAGCTTACTAAGAATTGATTTTTATATGACATTTTATATATGGGGTTGTAATCTGAGATATTTTATACTTGTGTATAAAAGAATCTGAACCAAAACAAATGGTAGTAGGTTGCAAGACAAAGATTACAGAAAATAATATGCAATAAAAAATACACATAAGATTTGAGAATTTCATTACAATTTATATTCATATTTGTGAAAGTACTGAACTAAAATGAAAAAAAAAATGGATGGATTGCAAATATAAAATGGTTTATTTGCGGGTCTGATGTAGGAAGAGTTGAAACTGCAATGTGTACACAAAAAGGCACACATTTACCCAGAACCACGCAATGAAATAATGTTCTATATTAATCTACTCATGACATACTTGTATGCAATGCTGCAGTCTAGTTTTTTTTCTCTTTTTTTTTGAAGCGGCTGTACTGTGACTTTCACTTGCTAGTCAAGTGGTTCTCGTCATTAAAAAGTTTAAGAATTACTGATCCAATCGAGTGTTTGAAACTATAAAAATAGCAAACATTTAAGGAAAACCGAGATTTATATGTGAGATGGGGAAACCGGAAGTAAAGTTTTGGGTGGTTTTATGGGGCTTTGCTATGTCAAAACGGTTCTGATCACAAAATGGCAGGAAATGAACTCCCACTGGCGAGATCCTCATTGTATATCAGAGAAAAGAGTCCCGTTATTTGTCACACAATTTCAGAACCCTTCCGACAGCAAACGCGGGGAAGAGGTTACACAAAATAAAGGTCGCAAGCAAATGGAGAACGTTTGTTTTGGAAATATTGTATAAAATAGTTATATTATGGTGTATATTTGTTTAAATGTTTATGAAAAATATGTACAAATGTATCTGTTAAACGTGGCCCCTAAAGAAATGAGCTGCTGTGAACACTGTCAGGGTTATGTTTTATTCTGAAAATTTGAAAGCGGAAGTGTAGTATTTTACCAACTGAATAGTAATTCGACTCACTGTCGTTTGAGAAAGGGAAGAATAGAGGGCAGCTTGTAGTGAACAGCTGTAAAGGGTTCGGGGTAGTGTTTTTGAAATTATTTTGTTTATACAGCCTGCTTGTTTCCAAATAATTATCCTGGCGAAAGGTTGAACGGTGAAATGGAGGCGGACAGATCCGGCGGAGGACCAAACCCGAACTCCGGAGGCGGTGGCGGCGGAGGCAGTGGTACTAGCGGAGCGGGGCGCAACCCTAACGGGCCCAAAGCAGGACCGGGCCAGACGACATCGGGTGCCGGAGTCGGGCCAATGGCAGCGGCAGCCGGAGCCATCCCCGGGTCGTTCCTGCCTCGAGAGGCGCAGGACGGGGACTCGGGTATGACGCTTCCCGGGATCCTGCACTTCATCCAGTACGAGTGGGGACGCTTCCAGGCCGAGAAATACCGCTGGGAGGCTGAGAGGGACGAACTCAGGGTAATTTTATTTATTTACATAAAGCATGTGTTAGTTGGTTTTACACAAAAAACAGACTCAGGACGAAAAACAAGCAAATTAAACAAACAAGAAAACATCACAGCATTTTTAGCTTTGCTTTGTAGGTGTTCATGTGCCCTAAAATCAGTGTCAAAGAGACGGCATGCTAATGGGCTAACATATTGCACCGACAAGGATGCATTATTACTGTACGATAAAAGGAAGTGTACCACTTAATGTTCGCAATAAGGAAAACAGCTACCACTCTTCTCCATAAGCGAAACAAACAAGGTTTTCATCTCACATTAATTCATGCTGGTTAAATGTATGTTGGCAAACAAAAACAAGCCGTCAAAATCGACGTAAACAGTTCTCGTCTGATTGTCTTCTTCTTACTTTGATATCTTTTTTCAAAAACATGTCCTACCCACAGCTCTTTATATAGACTGTTTTTTGACATTCATGCGAAACTGAACCAAGAGGCCATTTTCTGATTTTTAAACACATTCTCATGTGGTTTCTCTGTTGTGGTTAGGAGGTCAGTGACATGCAGCTTTGAGGTGAAATCACTGCATTATTGAGTAATTCGTATTTGACTAAAAAGATTAAGAGAGAAAAAAAACAAACCCAAAACTTAATTGAAATGCAGAATAGTTTCGTGGTTTAAATATTGTCTTTTGAAGGCGAATATAGATATTGTGAGATTCCCAGTGCATTAAATGATGACCTTTGATTTTAAAAAAAAAGATCAGGTTATTGAAACTCTAAAAACAAGGATAATATGATCAAATGTGTTTTTGTATTTGAAACAGAAAAACAACACTCATCTCTAAAGCTACTGAGAATACAATATTGTAGCATGTTCATTATTACAGAAGTAATAATCGTTGGAATTCAAATGTACAGACTTAGGAAAATATTTTCAAACAGTACATATTTTATGTTTTTGTTGTCCTGTTCTATATATAGTAACGCAGCTAAAATTAGCTACTTAATTAGTTAGGCTATCTGCTTGGGAAGCCAGTCTGTAGTTAGCAGCTTAACAAACATGCTGCTTGTAGCTTACTATCTGTAGTTACCTTAATAAGGGTGACGTGTGGCACTCCACACAGTCTGTCTGTTTTGTATTTTTGTCCACAAGTAGAACAGTTTTAAGAGGTGGTATTTCTTTGCGTTTCATCCAGTTGCTGACCAGATGTATGTCAAAGCAGCTGAATTTGTCATTTAAGTTAAAGCAAAACACCAGGAGTCTTCATTCAGGCGTAGCGCTCACTGACATCTCACTAAAAGCATGTTAAGCTGTAGGATACCGGTTACCATCTCATGCCCGCTTCCCATCCACACCATTACAGTCTGATATTATTTATTTATTTTGTGACTGGACATATTTCCAGACGGTTGAAGTGTGATTGCGCTCTTTTTACTTATCACCAGAACACAACAACAAATTGGGTGTCCATAAAACCCGCAAAACCCCCGTCACTGACACTCTGACATTTCAGTTGAAGGACTTGGAGTTGTGGGAACAATGAGTTTTAAAACTATTTCTCTCTTATTCTTCAATACCAGTTAATTAGAAAATAATAGTTATTTGATGAATAGTGAAATACGATAGTTCAAGCTTTTTTCTTGGCAAAATGATTGATCAGAATGAGTTTTTTTGCAACAAAAGCTCCTTTCCACAGATGCTATTCCCTGATTCATAACAGTCCCGATGTACAGTAAAATGTATATCTGTGTGTGCGGTGGTGGCACTCAAAGTAAAGACCGCCCGCCCTTTGAACTAACACACAAATAAATGACTCACTGGTGCGGGGGAAAAATATTTTTTGTCGATATGCAATGATCTGCAGCCTACTAATGCGAGCGCAGGGCCTGCCTTTAGGTTGGACGTGTAGGCCTACGACTTTAAAGGTCATCGATCTGCGCGTGTAAAAGTGGCTTGGTGAACGTGTGAGTCAGTGGGAGAAAAATGCCCGTGAGCAAACCACGAGTCCCACGGTGATCCCAGTTGTTCAGATGCCAAGTTGCACAAGATAAATGTTTCTCTCCTGCATAGACGTAGGATTTTGCTTTAGTCTAAAAACTGCTCTTGTGAATAGTTGGAACAGCAACTGCTCTGCTTTATCTACTGTTTTATCTTACACATGCCTCTTGTCTTCTTTGGAGTGTTTCTGCAGACATTTAATTTCTTTTGCCGTGGTACTCCTCCACTCTGTTTGGCCCCCTGACTCAAACCTATGTAGTTTATAAATAGGAGCCCGATAAAATATGGATGAACAATAACAAACTGGCAGCGCTCGCTTCTTTTATGGGCACACGGAAGAGAAACCGAGAAGAGAAGTCAGAAACGGGTCACCGCCACGTCCAGCAGGCCATTATAACTGGGTTTGCATGTAAGTATTTTGGAGCACATGATCTGGCTTCACAGGTACAATTAGCACAGTGTCCTGAGCTGGAGGAGTGAAGGGGAACACTGCAGCGTGGTGCTGGAAAAAAATGACCTAGCTTACATTTTAACACCCACAGGCCTCTGGCTTTTGTTGCCAGCATGCTTGAAGAGCTCTCAACATGCCAGTTAGTTTGCCCGCTGGCTACATCCTGCACAATCAACAACATGCAGAACGCGTGTAAAGTATATTTAGCTTCGGTGATGTCTACACAAGACTGCTTGTGCACTTAATTTCAAGCTTTTATAATTGAATCACTAACATGTTCATAAAAATCAGGGGGCAACGAAAAAAAAAACAACAACAAAACTTCAATGTTGGACAGAGAGTTGACACTTTTTGTGTGCATGGTGGGAGACTTTGTTGCGTCTTTGTAGCATGGCGTGTCTCTGCAAGACTGCCACACGTGTTCCCTCTGTGAGCGTGTTGTTCGTCTAAGAGGCCACCTGTGGTGTCCTGTCTGCGCTGACAGGCCGACAATTGACGTCTTCCCCGCCTCTCTGAACCAGGTGGGACGTTTCGGGTCAAACGTAGGACAAGCAGCAGAAGGGTGGTTGTTTACCTTTGAGTCTTGGAATAGTTTTTTTGACAGGGGGGGAAAAGGAAAAAAAGGTTTCTGTCAAATCACAGCACTGCTGCGATACATTGTTAGCCATGCCACTTATGTGCAGACAGACTATTGGTTACCCACAAGGCATTACTTCCTGTTGACTGTGGGCTTTAGGGCCCCTGGGTACTGATCTCTAATTAATAGTTGCACTCTCTTAGCTTTGACACAAGCATGACATCTGTAGGCATTGCGATATTTCTAGCCATGCTTTCTTTCTTCTTGCATTTACTTTTTTCTGTTATTCAGTGCTGCAAAAAACGTATTTAGCTACACATTTTGTCATCTAAAAATATGATCCAAGAATACACCATAGCATTGCCCTTTGTTATACAGTTGCAGCTGCAAGTGACTTTTTGATAACTCTTCTTTGTTGAACAGTAGTTTGATTGAAGTCCTCATGTGACTAAAAATAATTTGACCTAAGTGCTTCCTGGCTGTTTGTTTAGGGTTGTTTTATTACTGGAAAGTTAACCTTTGCCCCAACCTCAAACTGTGTTTCTAGGATTGCCCATCTGTCTTCTCATCAGCCCCATTGGAGAGAAAAAAAATCCTCACAGAATGATGCTGCCATCTCCAAATCTCTTTTTACTTATCAGGTGACTCCTGGTTGCACTGGATTTTATTTAGGGGAATCAGATCAAAAGGGGGTGGATCCAAAATTCATGGCACACTTTTCAGTCTTGTATCTGTAAACTATTTGAAGACTGTGTATCATTACTGTTCCACTTTGCAAAGCGCACCAGTTTGTGTTGGTCTGTCTTCTAAAGTCTCAATAGAATACGTTGATGTTTTTAATGCATCTAAATATGAGAAAGTTCAAGTAGTAAAAATCGTTTCTCCAGAAACTGCCTGAGATTTAATCTTTGTACTTTGTGAGCCTGTTTGACTTTATTATGTTTAATCACCACACACTTGTTTTATTCCTTCCTAGTCTCATTTTTTAACTCAGCCTGGAGGTCCTACCTTTTAGGATTTATTTCCCAAGTGACTCTACGTAAACACACACTTTTTTCTCTACTCCAGCAGGCTCTGTCCCAGAAAATGTCTGTTGATCTACTTGTTTGCTTTTGGACCTTTTTCTTTTTATTATTATTTTTTTAAGAGCAATGAGAATGGCTAAGTCGATGGTCAGCAGGGACGGAAAGCTTGCCCTTTGACCCTTCTGTGTAGCTGGAGGACAAGGACTGACAGAACAGGTCAAACCTGTGTCGGCTCTCCAGGTGACGGTGTATTTTAGAAAAGTCAGCAGCAATGGGTCACACAGACGAAAACGCAGACAGAAGAAAGAGAGATCAGATGACATGACAGGTGCGCTCCCAGTAAAGTTCCCTTTGTGTTTGTTTTACTAAGATGACATCTGTACTGTAAGTCCAGTGTCACTAGCAAGGCCGTATCCTGTATACTGAGTTTTTATAAGCAAACACTTTAATAATACATTTTGTAAAATGAGAAGGGATGTTAATCTGCTGCTTCAAAACATTCGATAAATCATCTTTAGTAGCAGATCAATGAGTTGCTTTGTTTTGTGTTTGGTCCGATCAGCTCAGACACAAAGATTCTTGAACCTGCTCTTGTTGGCAAAAAGGTAGAAGTGATGGAAGTAAAAGAAAACCAGAAAGAAAACACCAATTCAGCTTTTCATTCAAAGCTTAGATGTGAATGTAAATACATTTTAGTACATTATTAAGCACATAGTGCATGTGCCTCTGACTTTATCACCTTGTTTTACCAGGAAGCTCTGATTGGTGATCAGCAGGTCAATACAGAAAAATCAGTTATTTATTTTTTTTTTATTTACTAAATGTCAAACATTTGGTATTTATACATCAACATTTGATTATTTTTATTTTTTTTTTATTGTGGTGCTTAAATTTGTGTTTAATAAAAATCAGATAAAGGTTTGAGGCATATCTTTTGATGCATAAAATAAGTAATCTAATAATTTCTTTATTTTCATGTTAAATTAAAATTTTACTCATCAAAGAACCTGAAGCACTCTTTTCTCTTATTATACTTTTAAAAAAATGAAAAAAAAAATCAAACTTGACATCTCAGGCATGAAACCAAAAGTTAGTGGCATCTTGATTGTTACATCTAGAATTTTTTTTAAACATTTGCATCACTCTGGGTATTTTAAAGTTTTATCTTTAAACTACAGCTAAACGTTTACATGTCTATACTTGTGATGTAGTGCTGTTTTGCTAACGTAATGAAATAAAAACGAACAAGGGCATAATGACGATCACCACTGCAGTGGGCAGCTACGCGGTTGAAGGTTGCGTCCTCCGGTGTGAAACAAGGAGCTCCGTGGTGTGATGCCTATCAGTGAATGAGGGCAGGTTGGGGCTTGTTTGTGTGCAAGTATGAGTAAAAAATGTGTGTCCTACTTTTTGTAGATGAAGGAGAAAGATTCCTGAGAGGCGAAAATGAGGAAATGCATTGTTGAATGGGATCATTTATAAGACAGGAACTTGACAGGCCCATATCTGTAGCTACTTGTCACAACAACAGTGTTTGGCATGGCTGCTGAGGGCGATTTAAACCCGGCCTGGGATAATGTGGTGTGTGTGTGTGCCTTAACCTCCCCTCTTTTTGTGTTTTTGTTTTGTTTTTTCTGTTAGTTAATATACCGACGATGGGTTTGAGCAGAACTATTTTTAACACATTTCTGTCTACTTTTCTGATGTTTGCACCTTCATAATCATGCCAGGACCCAGTCGAGCAGAACCTTAACTTGCATTTTAGTGCACTGTGAAAATCTAACGATGTGGCAGACATGACCAGTTTGCTTCTACCATTGCAAAACCGAACATTGGATATGCTCTTAACTGCAACCAAACATTATAAACCCACATAAATACTGTAAATATGTTCTCGCATCGTTGTCCATTCATGGTAAAACAGTTTCTTGCACAGACCCATCTGCTGTTCCGAGATTAGTTCAAATCTAAACCACACAAGCAAACATATCTCTGTTTTAGAGATTATACCTTCAGTATTCACGTCTGAACTTTTTTTTTTCTCATCTCCAAAGCCCTTCGATTAGTCTATGAAACGACATTGCATTAATCAGGATTACTCAGCAGCAGCGAGGTTTACTTGGCAGATTATCTCGTGTTCCTCCTTAATCATGACACAGCCGTCTGCGTTGGTGTGAGCCCTCCTCGTAGATCTACATCTACTGTCTGGAGCAGGCCGAGCTTCTGCCCCATGAGGCGCCGGTTTTTAGAATGTTCTAGTTTTACAGAACCGAGTGTAGGAGGAGCCTCACAGACACAGACTGGGGCGAGTGGGGGAGAAATGGGCTGTAAAATAAGCTCTAGTTATGCTCTGATGCGACTTGGTATGGAAAGTTTCAGGGAGGAAATTTGCAATGCTCTTGCATAGCCTCTTGCTTGGATATGCTTAGTTAAAGTGGAACTGAGTTAGAGCTTTTTAACCTACTTGTAGTTGGAATCACACAAGATTCGAGAAGTCTGATGTGATTCAGTGAACTCTGACCATGCACCTGCTCTAATCCTATCACGATTTTGTCCAGATTCCTTTAAAAAAAAAAAACAACAACAAAAAAAACAACTTCTTATCATTTTTCCTTCACAAATCTCCTTGTTTTGATAAATGGCCAGAATGGGCTGTGAAAAGAAAAGCCTTTCCTCAAGTTGGGAGTCCTATCAGCACCGAGGAAGGAAACGGACACAGGAAATGAGAAAGGAAGGATGTGTCTTACAAGAGAGCGTTTGAATTCAGCTGGACTGTTTCTTGTTTTTACTCGTCTGCATCTGCGCACTCAGGCCTTCGCCAGCAGTGGTTTAAAATTAAGAGTCTTTTGACTTATGGCTCTGGATTTCAAGAAGTTGTGTTTTAAGTGCTTACCACATCAAGACTTCCTTCTTCTTCCTACTTCCCTCCCCTGCTCATGATGGCGCTCATGTTTGTTTTCCAGAATGTGTTCTGTGTTGTTTATTGCCATATTTCTGTGTGTCAGGCTCAGGTGGCATTCCTGCAGGGGGAAAGGAAAGGCCAGGAGAACATGAAACAAGACCTAGTGAGGCGGATCAAAATGTTGGAGTATGCCCTCAAACAAGAAAGGTGAAGTACAAGACAGTAAAGTGATCTTTTTGTCCTCAGTAACCTTTACCAAAGCTTTTACATCCTGTAGATGTTGTGATCTAGTTAGGATGGATGTTTGTCTCCTTTAACGTTGATCTTGTGGGGTTTCTTTTTTTTTTTGCTTCCAGGGCTAAGCACCAGAAGCTGAAATCTGGAAACGACCAGAGTCCTGGAGACAAGAAGCCTGAGATGGAGGCAGATCAGCGTATGTTTTAATTTTTTTTTTAAATCCAGTTAGTTATGTGGATATATTACATGATCTACGTTGTGCTTTCATTTCCTTAGTTCCCAACGGACCAGCTGAGACCGACTCCGAGCCACCCAATCAAATGTCATGGAAAGAGGGTCGTCAACTACTACGCAAGTACGCCGCGCTTTTCACGTCGATGATTCAAGAACCTTTTTTTTTTTTCCAGGAACCGTCCTGAGAGTTTTGCCCCTGTAACGCAGGTACCTGGAGGAAGTCGGCTATTCAGACACCATCTTAGACATGCGCTCCAAACGTGTGCGCTCCCTGCTGGGGCGGAGCAGCCCGGAGGCCAACGGGCCCCCGTCGAGTGATGGCTGTCCGGAACCAGAACCCCGAGCGGCTGGAAACTCGTTGTTGGTCAGACAAATAGAAGAACAAATTAAAAAGTGAGACATTTTTACTGCTGCAACTTGGCGATCACAGTAGTGAGGTACTGAGAGTCCTAACCATGGCTTTGGATGGCTCATACAAAAGAGGTCAAAGCAGTATTTAAAATAAAGTTACAATAAAATACATTAACCTAGACAAAATCAAATCTGGCTTACTCATCATATCGCTGTTTTCTTAAGTTGTAGCTTAAAAAGTATCAAAAATATTCATTTTGTTTGAAATGAGTCTTAATATTCCTTATCTGATATCGGATATGGATCCTGTTGAAGGCATTTTGAAATTATGGTGACTAATATGCATACTAAAATATGCAGGATTGAAAGTCTGAAAAATATAATGTAAACTTTTTATTTTAGCAGGAAAGAAGGAAAGTCGAGTATGAAAAATGTTAGATTTTTCCAGACTTTTTTCTTTCTTTCATTGATTAGTTTTCTTAAAACTATCCCAGCTCTTGGCTAATAATGCTTTATAAATGCAGTGATTTTATATTGATTTATATTAAAGTGAAAACTGTAATTTAACATTTGACCTGTCAGTTTTGTTGGTTTTGATTTACTGGCTAAAATTAGCACTCATTCAGAAATATTAAAGGGGGCATTTATTATTTATCCACAGGGTTTAAAATACCAAAAAAAAAAAGAAAAGTAAGGAATTTTTATAAAAATAGAAATAAACATACTGAAGTTCTGCTTTTGGTAAAGGCACAGTGTATTATATTCTTCAAGTTATATTTAGATGTAGAGCTAATGTTTGACCAGACCCCCAAAAAATGTACATTTGTGTAAAGAGCAAGTAGCCAAAAATGAGTTGAGACACACTACAGAGTAGATGGAAAAAATGTTTTAATTCCATTATTTTGCATGGAAACTTGAGGGTCAGGATGGATTTCCTTTGAATTGCGACGTAAAATGAAGCAAACGTAGAGAACCACTAAGAGACCAACATAAGGACCTGAAAGAAAAAATATAAATATAAACTAATAGCGACATTAAAAATGCCGCGTAAACTCCAAATAAAATTGTTTTCACATAATTGTTTTATCTTTTCACAGTGTTGAGCTGTGTGAAAATGTTGCTCTCTGTACGTTTTAACAGGAACGCAGGCAAAGAAAGCTCCAAGGAGAGCGTCGGCAGCTCGGTGCTCGATAAGATCCCCTTCCTTCCCGGCTGCGAGGACGACGACGAAGAAGACAGTGACGAGGAAGACGACTTCCAAGGCATGACCACCGACTGCATCGACGGTCCGCGCAAAATCAAAAAGCCCCGTGTAAAGGTGAGCTCAGTGAGTTGAGCCTGATGAGTTGTCACAAACGACAAGCTGCTCGTCACGCCAACCGTATCTCTATTTGTTTTTTACTTTTTTTCTGCTGTCCAGATAACTTCAGAGCCCATGACTACAGATCTGGACCCGGAGGACGAGGAGGATGAGGACGACTCAGAAGACGCCCTGAATGAATTTGACTTTCTGGGCTCGGGGGAGGATGGGGAGGGGGCGGGAGAGGCCCGGATCTCGGGCGATGGACGGGAGATAGGTACGCCGCTACAGTAGTTGTCAGCACTGCCAGGATCACTGCCGACTGTCTTCTCTGCCTCCACTCGCTCACCTTTTTACCTCTTACGTCCTGTTGTGTCTTGGCATCTTTTCTCGTCAATAAAAACAGACCTCTTTTTTCCCAACCGCCTGTCTCTCTGTCCTGTTTCACGATCTCTAGATCTGTGTGGCTGTCATCTTTGTCTTGTATATTGTGCAGCTTGAAAAGGTGATCACGCATGCTGCCTTCACTGGTCATGTGCTCACATTTCATTCCTTGAAACCATAAGTACACCATGTAGATGTTTCACCCATGAAAGTGGATGTAAAGTAGATTGAGGGTCTTATATGTATATTTAAGGTATGTAGTGTGTCTTCTTTTTTTTCCCGCTTTTCTTCTCCTTCCATTCGTTTCATCCGCTGGCCTCTCCGTCATTTCTCCGCCTCTCGGAACTGACTGGATGTTTTCTCTCTCCCTCTTCTCGCCGGGTTCAGAAAACCGCAGGAACAAGCTGCAAGGCATGATGTCGGACTTCCCACCCAAACCATCTCCGCCCCCGTCTGTATCGGGACAGGCTCGCTCCGGGGAAGGTGAGGGTTTTTTTTCTAATATGCTCATCAAAAAGAAGAAGAAAAAAATCCACACCTGAGTTATTTCACCAGTGTACTCCCACACACACACGGTTGTAGCTTGGACACTGAAATTCAAGCTTAATTTGCTCAGTTTTAAAGCTTGTGTTAGAAGACTACGCCTACACCTGTAAATGTTATCTTTGGTACACTGTGTGGGAGTAATGCACCCAGAATAAAAGAGCACAGCTTTCTAAAGTTCTTCGCTGTGGAGAACTTGCAGCATGTTTTTTTTTTTTAAAACAATGACGGGGGTAACATGCTTTTCCCCATTCGACCTGCAGGTGGTGCCCTTGGATTCTCCTCTGACGTCTTCATCATGGACGCCGTTGGAGGAGGCGACATGAACCTGGGTGAACTGGCGGATCTCACCGTCGCCAACGACAATGAACTCTCCATTGATGTAAATACACATCCCACCTGGTCGACCCTCGGTTCAGCACATAACTCGATAATAAGGCGGTGCCTCACTTTTATTCTGCGCCCCACCAGATGCAGGACAACAGAGAGGAGTTCAAGAAGACCTGGAATCCTCGCTTCACGCTGCGCAGCCACTTTGACGCCATCCGGGCGTTGACGTTCCACCCCAGCCAAGCTGTGCTGCTCACGGCGTCTGAGGACGGCACGCTAAAGCTGTGGAACCTCAACAAGGCCATGCACTCAAAAAAGTAAGAGAAGGAAATGCAGTGACTTGCAAAGGGCTGCACTTTACTGTGTTTCTACGAGCTTTGTCGTGCTACATTGAGATTTTAAGAGATGTACCAAGAAAATGTGATGCATATTTATAAAGTGGAATATGAAGCAATTTGTTTTTCCATAAATGAAAGTTTGAATTATTTAGCTTTGTTTATTTAGCTCTTCTATAAAATCAGATTTGCTTAGTGCACGAGTAGCAGCTCCTCCAGAGTTCCCCTGGACGTCTTCGCTCTATTACTGATAACGCTCTGTGGCTGGATTTACACTGGGATCAGGTTACACACAGGTGTTGGTTTATTTCTGAAGGCAGATTATTAATTTACTCAGGAGAATTAGACTTAAAGACCCAAATTTCTTTTTCCACATTGTTTGCAAAAACGTTTGAGCACCATTTACCATCAATTATACGTTCCTGTGATCTGTCACGTAGAATCACTGAAGTTTGAGGTTGTAGTATGACAAAATGTGAATAGGTTCAATATGTATAAATACTTTCTCAAGACGCCACAGGGGGGGAAAAAAGCAGAGACTTTGAGGTATAAAGCACGTATAACAAGTTGTGTCCCTCTACAGGAACGCAGCTTTGGACGTTGAGCCCATCTACACCTTCAGGGCACACAGGTGAGTTCAGTATCTGACGTGCAAAAATGAGTAGCACTGTTTTTCCCCTGAAAACAAGCCACTGCCATCTGTCTGTGTTTTCGTAGCGGAGCGGTGCTGTCGCTGACCATGAGTGAGGACGGAGAGACCTGCTACAGCGGCGGTCTGGACGGAAGCGTCAGATGTTGGAAGATGCCCGACCTCAACGTAGACCCTTACGATAACTACGGTGAGACGTCGCGGTTTGCTCAGCTTCATGGGACTCCGTTGGCCAATAAAGCACATCCAGGGCTCCCTACGCTGTGTTTTGATTTTTCACATCTGCATAAGCAGGGTGAAAAACGGAACGTGAATCTGAAATGCAGTGTTGAGTTTCGAGGCTTTATTGCTTAACCCATCATCTGTATTGTGCACAAAAGGTCAGAATGTTATAAAAGCTGCAAGAATTTTGAGCATTTTGAAATTAGAAGTTTGTACGTTAATAGAGATATTTAAAAATTAGGGAGCAAATTAAATTAAAAGGAATTGTCTTAGAGACTACAAACTGCTTTTTTTGTAAGTAGCAAAAACCTGCCACCTGCTGTCCATTTAGGAGAATGAAGCGTTAGTGTGAACTACATTGTTTTTCACGTTGTATATAAATTATGGGCTGACCAGCAGTCTGTGGCTGAAGCATAAAGTCCCAACGCTGTGAAGGAGAGAAGGCTCACAGAAATTTTATTTTTGGAAAGTTGTTAAATAAAAATAAAACAGATAACTTTTCAACTTCTATAATTGACTGTGGATTATTATTTTTAAGATTAATTAACAAAACTAAATCTAGGGAGAAAAAAAATCTTCATGTTGAATTTCATTTAGTTATTCTTTGCTGCCTCATGCACTATTTTACACATGCATCCAACATCTACCCTGTTTACGCTCACCTTTCAAAAATGACCTAAAACATAGTTTACGAAATCTTAAAATTTGCCACTATCCTCACGTCAAGTATGCGTTTTACGTCTTAATAAGCTGCGGCTCTCCCTTCAGATCCTGGCATTCAGAGCAGCGTGCTGGACGGCCACGAGGACAGCGTTTGGGGTCTGACGTATTCGTCGGTTCACCATCGTCTCGCTTCCTGCTCGGCTGACGGCACGATTCGCCTCTGGGACCCTCAGAACTCGTCTCCCTGCATGTCCGTCTTCAACAAGGAGAGAGGTAGAGATCGGCTTATGGAGGCTGAAGAGAGTCGAAGAGAGTCGAGCAACGTAAAAAAGCAGCAAACTGCTTTTATTTTTAAAGCACGTAACAAGTAACGTTAACGGGTAACCATAAATGGTGTTGTTGTGGGTTTGTTTTCTGCCACAAGACGAGGGGAAGTAGAATGGGTTTAGCTGACAAAGCAACAACAAAACATTGCAAAATTGTTTCTTAAAGGAGCAGAAAACTACTGATTTGTTCTAAAAAGTAGCATTCCTGGAGGTTTGTTATGATGTCTTGCCATATTTTATTTGTAAATTAAAATATCACCAAAAGGTTTATTTTTCAATTTATTTCATTTCAAAAGTGTAAAGTAGTATATTTTGAAAACGTATTACACTGTGGGCTCTGTTTCAGGTTTTCCTTAATCTCAATCTGGATGGATAAGGCTTACTGCAAGAGAAAAACCCACATTTTGTTTCTCAGAAAACCAGCACTGTTTCCTGTGTACTTTTTCATTCCTCTTAATTTCCCCACGGTGTATTTTTTGTGTGGTTTTATTTTTTTGAAAATATCGTCTTACCTGTATTTTCAGAGCACGGAACCCCGACTTCTGTGGCCTTTGTGACCACTGACCCCAACCAGGTGGTGGTGTCGTTCGACAGCGGAGAGACGCTGCTCTACGACCTCAACACGGAGCAGAGCGTCACCGCGCTAGAGACGCAAACGAAAGACGGTACGCTCGGAGGATCTGTATCCCTAACTTGTCACCATAAGCAACCTTTTCCTGCTGCCTCAAGAACAAACAATTAGCTAAATACCATTTGAACGTAACGTTTTCCTTGCAGGCAGTGAACTAATCAATCGCGTCGTCAGTCACCCGAATGAACCCGTTTCCATTACTGCACACGAGAATCGCACCATCCGCTTCATGGACAACAAGACTGGTACCTGCTTGATATCTTCTGTCGTTGCTCCCTGAGTACAACCTAAATCTTCTGGAGACGAAGATTAATCCCAGTTTGCTGATGTGTTTGTGCAGGTAAAGTTGTCCACTCCATGGTGGCTCACTTGGATGCTGTCACATGCCTCACTACGGACCCTAAAGGCACTTACCTCATCTCTGGAAGTAAGTATTGTCCAGCTTGACTTATCGAGATCTTGACTGAAGAAACAACGCTCAAGATCGTTTTTAATTACCAGCCCATTTTATCACTGACAACCAGTTATTATTCCCACTCAAAGTGTCTTTAACGATGATTTAAAATGAAGGTAACGAGATGGATTATTTTATTTCCTCTGGGGAAATAAAATAATCGGCGTTGCATGAAACAATAGCGAGACCTGAACACACATCCCCACCTTTCACCTGCCCTTTACCTCTCGCAGGCCACGACTGCTCGGTGCGTCTGTGGATGCTGGACAACAGGACGTGCGTGCAGGAAATCACCGCCCACAGGAAGAAGCACGACGAGGCCATTCACGACGTGGCCTTCCACCCGTCCCAGCCCTTCATCGCCAGCGCTGGCGCAGACGCACTCGCCAAGATTTTTGTGTGAATCCACTGTTGCCATTTTGGTAAGATGGAAGATGTCAATATACCAGTAAAGCAACAAAGCTGCTGTATATCATGTATATTTTCCAAAATGTTTACAAAGAAAGCTGGAGAAGATCTCGCGATCCAGATTTGGGGCTGCTTAGCTTTGGTGTAGCTTTGATAGACATAAAAAAAAAAATCACTAGAAACCCACCACACTTTATGAAAAGCTTTATTGCTTTATTTAAATCTATATTGATTTAAATAATGCATATAAATAGTGGCAAAGATTTTTCGTGTGGAAAAAAATCTGATATTTGTAAGATTTTTAACATTATTTCATCTCTTTTTTTTGTTGAGGATTTATAACTGTTGACATAACATATGTACTAAAACATTTTTCAGATTACATTCAATATGAGGTTAAGGTTGAGAATGTCTAATTTTATGTATTTATGTCAGGATTCAGAAACTAAAGCTTCGTTTTAAAGAGCCCTCTTCTTCAGTTGTGAATGTTAGAGGGTTTTTACAGGGTACGCTTTATAATTAATGTCCTCAAAATTCCTAAATATTACTTACTAAAACGTTCAAAAGCTCCGATTTTACTCTAAGCTACAAATTATTGAATAATAGTTCTTACAGGTCACCTTTTCTTGCTTGTTTTGCTGTTCAGAAACCAAAAATGACTGAGAGCCATGTTATCTGCAAGTTCCACTGTTTATGTGAATTAGATCCATGCAGATGCAGTTCGGGGGGGAAGCAAATGGCCGTAAAGAGGCGGCAGATAACAGCTGGGAGGCACAAAGGGATCCAACAAAGTAACATTATGTAATCCAGCAGCCACTTTACTTTAGCAGACATGAGCTGAGTTACTGCAGAAACTGTTGGCAACACTTCATTTACTTCTAAGACTTTCAGCAAGGTTTGCATGTTGTAGAAAAGCCTCTGTGATCTCCTTGTGGTACGCATGAGGAGAGAGTTAGTCACCCAGCAGGATGTTGTAAAGTTGTTGTTGTTGCCACAGAAACAATGGCAAGATTGTTTGCCTGCACTTACGGCACCTTTCAGCTCTTGATGCAGATTTACGATGGCTTTCGTTTCTCTGTGCACCATCAAAACTGCTTGCATACAGGCGCAGCTCGACAAATTAAAGTATCGTCACCTGTAATTAACTTTTTATAAACACAGTTCAAAAAGAAAAACATATTTTATAGATTCCTTACACAGAAAACGTATTTAAAATATATACATTGATATATATATATATATATATATATATATATATATATATATATATATATATATATATATATATATATATTTTTTTTTTTGTGGCTTAATTACTGGTGGCAAACTTTTGCACATCTGTTCTTCTTTAAATCGGAAAGTTATTGATCAAGTTATGCTTTTCATCTTAGTGAATTGGTTTACTTGCTCTGGTTGGGTTTAAAATAATTTGACTAATCACAAGTACAAAGCTGCTGCTGCATTTAAAAACCAGATTTAAGCCAATAATTGGCATTAGTCAATTATTGGCCACTTACGCAGGTATTGTTAATTGCCAATTCCAGCATGAAAATGAAATCAGCCTCTCCTCCAAGCAAGAAGTGCTCTGAAATTTCATTTTAACTGGGCGTTGTTTGGATCACGCTTTTTCCTTCCACTTAATTTACGAGAAATGTGCTTGGAACCGTCCTCCTTTGAACAGACAGCTTGTTTAGCGGCTTCCTTATTCTGCAGAATGTCAGTGACTACTTTTATTGTTTTCGATCAGTCAATAAAGTTTATTTGTTTAGCAATAAATGAATGGAAGGTTGGACATTGGCATGTAATTCTGCAGTAGTGTTTTGTCCAGATTGTTCTTTTTGTTTACCTCGGTTGTGTTTTGCTGTTATTAAAGCAGCAGTTATCAAAACACCTGATGAGGAGGGATGAGTTTACGATTTGAATCAGATCAGATACAACGACAGGCAGGATTTGTGGGTATATTTATATCTGTACAACTGGCAGAATTGCTTAATTGACTTATAATTTCTTCTAAGCTTTTATAGTTGAGTAGTTGAAATTGAGTCAGTTTTTTTTTCTTTTGTATTTGTTGTGTTTTGGGCACAGGATTGATCTTAATCTGACAAACTGATTGTTAGGATTTTATGATAAGTAACTCATAGTCATTCAGTTTCACAGAGGAAAGCGATACATAATTATGTGTTTTGTGAATTTTCACTTTTTGCACTGGATTGCTGAAATAAACTTTAGTTTGCTAAAAAGCATCCGTATGCTCCAAGTATGAAAACTGTTGGCATTGAAAAAATGTTTCTGAAAATGTGTCTTTGCTCTTTGTGTTTTGTGATCCCTAATCCCGTCTTTCTTTTTCTGTGTCTTCAGCGTCCTGAAACCGCAACTGGGCAAAAAGATGCTGAAGATGACAGCGGACGAATTTCTCTCTCTCTTTTCTTCTCTCTTTCTCTCTCTCTTTTCTTCTCTCTTTCTCTTTTCTTCTCTCTTTCTCTCTCTATCACACACACGTAAACACATCCAACTGTCCTGCAGCCCACTGGCTGGGTCATCACCACAGGACATCAACCCCCCGCCCCCCGCCCCCCGCGCCCCCCC